ATACTTTCAATGCAAGTAAGCCCAATATGCCACGCTCACACACCCGTTTCGGTTCCCTTTCATAAGTGTACGTCCATACATATTCCCGCCCTTAATTCAACTCCTCTGCAAACATTCCTCTAACAATCTGACTCTCTCAAAATGAACGCTGCATTGCAAACTCTCAATTCCCCCACTCTAGTCACATTTCATTTAACCGCTTAGATGCGTACATCTCACGAAAGCTCTCTGACCTCGCCCTTGCCCTCTCCGCTCTATAGTAGAGCTGCTCCGTAGGTCTATTTTGTAAAGCGGCACCATGAGACGTCATCAACACTGCCCCGTCACCAGACTCTACTTGACTAACGATCTAAAATATTTAACGCATCGCAGAGCCAACTTGACTGCGCTCCAGCACAACCTCGAACCAACTCTTCATTGGTTTTAGGGATGCACTAACAAAAATTTTTTCATAAATCAAATCAGGAATACGTTTAAAACTAAATCCTCGACGCAACATTACCACATTAAGAAGAAATACAGGACCGTTCCACGCATCCTTACCTTCGCACCAATAGCTGTTGAGGGGAAAGTAAGAACTTAAAAAAATCAAAAAATATTTCAATGTTCTTATTCACATAAAATGCAATATATGCCTCAAATACTGTTAATGAAAAACAACGAGCAAGTAACAATTACCGTACTAAATTTTCTCTCTGATATACGTTATTTTTAAAGACAAAAAAACGGCAAAGCAGACAAAGCTCATGCAGGAAACAAAATTTCACAAAAACGGTGTATGCTGCTTTATAAGCAAATTACACTCCCTATGGTTTCTACAACATAAACTTGTTTTAATGGTTTCCATAAAGTATGAAAGGCTAAAACCAACCAATTATGTCATTAATTCCCCCTTCAAACAAGTGAAATATATACAAGAGGTAAAAATTTTGAAAGTGCGCTCCCAAAAAAAATCAGAAGATAATTATTCCAAAATTTTAAAACAAATTATCGTGGCAATAAACAACCAAAAAATATATGACACGCAACAGATAACCTTGTTACCTCCCGAAAAAATTTGGTGGAAAACTAAACTTCTTATCAGCACCACCTCATCAATTCCCCTACTTTTCCGAAAATTGAGCTTAAAAGATTAAGCGGCGTAAATCCACGAATATGACAGAAAAATGAGCTTTATACGAAGTCATAGCTAAAAATACACATGTAATGTAAACAACCTTCAAGGCCGTTATAAGTAATGATTACAAAGAATCTTAGCACGAAATAATAAAGTGGCTTCAAAAAAAACCAAGAATTTAAGATAAAAAACGTCCAGCTAAGCGACAAGAAATGTCAAAAATCAACTACGAGTTGTCATATAAATCAAATTTTCCTCAAGCTGGAAAAAACTTACCATGTGCGAAGTGTGCATCCCGTTCATCATTGGTCCACTTACCGGGCCAGTTGGAACTCCATGTGACGGATTCATAAAACCCTAAATTACAAATATAACGTGCCTCAAACGTTCCGAAGGAAAAAGCGGCTAGTACTGGTAGAAAAGCTCACAAATTCATGAAAAGCTTTGGCCTCCTGCGAAGCTTCGCACGAATCACGTTTTTCTGGAGCTGCCGAGTACAGATCCCAAAACAAGCTGAAACCAGATAAATTTACCATCATTACAAAAAGAAACTAACGAACACCTGCCAGGCGAAAACTTACAAAAACCAATTCTGCAGAAAACCAGGAGGGTCAGAAGACTGGAGTGTGGGCATAGCCTTTGTTATTGTCTGAAATTTTATAAAATAACGAATCTTCTAAAGAATCTGTACTTCGGAAAGACTAGGCAGTCAAATATTAAAATGAACACCGGCTTGAACCGTAAAAATCTTGAATAAGCAAAACGATTTCAACTAAGAAAAATGTTACAATGAATGCATCATGATTTATAAAGTAATAATTTTCCAGCCCACCTTTCTAAGCACCACCAAACTCCCAAATACTAGAAATAAAACAGAAAATAATATAAGTCAAGAAAGCCATCTTACCACAAAAAACGTCAAAGACACTTCCGAATAAACTAACTGGCACAAATAATCTAGTAAAACAATAAATCAGGACCAAAGCTGGTCACTTAAATTCATTAAGAAAGACACTAAAGCTAGAAATAAATGCAAAAAGTATTCCTTGTCTTAAATCAGATAAAAAAACGGAAAATAAAAACTTATACAACTTTATACACCGTCCAATATAAAGTATCGAATCAAAGTTTTACCGATAAGTACTCGCTTTTGAAACATTCGGCAGTTTTTGTCGCACCGTTCAGTATTAAATATTCATATACGTAACCAGCAAGCCTGAAAGTCAATTCATAATTTAAAACTTCAAATTGTAAACACTTGTTTTCAATAACACAGCTTCCTAGAATATGTGTAAAGCAGAAATAAAAGCAGTGAAAACCTGACCTTAAGAACTATTCCACCCAGTACCTTATAAAGCTTATGACTGTAAAATTAAAAAAAAATTTTTTTTAAACAACAGACTACTGACTTTTCTTTAGCAGAGGCCTCACTTTGACTGGTAAGCATCTGCGCAGGCCGAGTAGTCGCTTGGGCTTTCGGCTGTGGCGCAAACATCGCGACAATGGCTAAATCCTCTGTATTAGATTTGACACTATCCTCATTTGATAAAAAATCTAAAACAAAGAAAACAAGGATGTAAAATGAAATAATACTGTAATCCGTAGTAGGGACGGTGCGAAGAGCATATCTGTCTTTTTTTTTTGATGGGTGAAAAGAAATTGAAACACACAATATGGGTTAACAAAAATTTCCAATAGCCTGCTTCAAAGCTTATATCAAATCTACAATTTTAGTGAAGTTTTAATTACTGCAAACAATTTACTAAGTAACTTGTCGCACTGCTCGACCATTCAATTTTGTTTAACGAACTATAAGAGTCATTGAACCGTTTTTATAAATCATGTTCAATGTTAAAAATTGTTATAGAAATGCTAAAACTCAATGGAATCATGAACGACCTGTACTTCGAGCAGTGAAGCAAGTTTAATACACCTATCTAACAATAACTGCGGATCTGAACTTCGCAATTTTGAAGAAACACCAAAGATCCTAATTTCTAAATAAAGCATGCGGAACAAAACAAACATCAATAATAATAGCGACAGTGGCGTAACAAACAAGCAAATCCTGTATGCAACCTTTGCCTTTAAACCGTTTCAAATTGAAGCAGAGAACTGTATGTTACGTCAAACAGAAACATGAAAAAGTGCGACACTCGAAAAGGAAAGGATAAATTTTGACAAACTGATTTGTTAAGATAGATGCGCCGCAACAAGGTTCACAACGATTTTTAAAATTTGGACCTTTTCCAAAAAATATTGATTAATCTTTTAGCAAGAAAAAATTCAAAAAAATTACGATATTAACATAAAATGCGATAGCGGTTTTTAATGCCGCATTTGTTCCACTCTTTCTGAGTGTCTATGTGGTATGTGTCCGTTCGTGTTTGTGTTTGTGTTCGCCTGTTAGAGTGCGCGTAGCTTTGGCTTCAGCTGGTCGGTAGTCATTAGTGAACTGGCAAATGTTAGGCTTGTGCAAATCTGGTTGAAGAGTTTAGTGACGTATTGCGTAGCAACATTCCGGCTTCCAATAATCTCAGTGGTGCTTTTGTGCTTGTTCGCTCATACATAAGACTTGTATTCACGTTTTGCCTAGGCAAGCCGTTTTCTTTTTCTCCTCCTCCTTGCTCTTCTTCTTCTTCTTCTACTTCTTCTTCTTCTTCTTCTTCTTCTTCTTCTTCCACTTCTTCATCTTTTTCTTCTTCTTTTCCTTCTCCTTTCAATAGGTCGTACTCCATGCTCTACTGAACAGCGGCAAGAGCAGCAACATTTATATACATATAAACCATCGTTCGTTTAACAGCAATCGCAACAGCAAAATCAGCAGCAATTTTAAAACTTTAATTATTTCTATTTCACTTTTTTTTACAACTCAAAATTAATCTACCCTCTCAGAACGATATAAAGGCTTTTAACTGAATTTACTTTTTCTCAAAACAAGTGTCGAACTAAGTAAAACAATTAGCGGTTACGGTATACATATACTAGTCCTTCCAGTACGACTACGGAATTAGAACTAATAAATGAGAAAAAAACTTTTCAGTGAGAAAAATTTTCATCCGATGCGTGATAAAAGTACAAGCATAGTTTATGATGGCAACTGATTATAAGGCTAAGAAAAAACAAGAAAAATAAATTCGGTAGGAGAGCCAGAAAAGCGACACGGAATATGCAGTAGAGAAAAGCATGACTTCTAATTCGTATAAAGCTTGGAAGACTTCTAACATAGGTCTCCTCAAGCATGGCATGGCACGCGACAATCGGTATCACGTTGTCTGTATATTATAAAACTTGAATTCCCACGCAGTTCGTAATTCGAACGCGCTATAGGTTTTGCGTTTTGCAGAAGGCAAAAAGGAAACTCATTTCTTCGTTTTTTTATCCTTTACACTTTTTTGGGTGACCGATTGCCCATGACTGACCCTAAAAAATGGTAAGGAGGAAGTCCCATTTGTGTTTGAACAGTCCATAAGGCCGTCACTTTTCAGAAATAATTTTGGTGTGGAGGAACAAAGTGATCGGCTTAAGATTTCTTTTTAATATAAAAACAATAATATTGCTACCTCCAATTAATAATTCCATAAGTAAATTAATAATACATAACTATATTTATGTTTATTGATTCATTTATTTATTTACTTACAGACAGGCCAGGGTGGTGGTGTGGTTTACTGGAATAGCTTCTTTAAAACAAG